AGTAAAAGGTTGTCCATATCCAGGCATCATTGCATGATAATAACTAAATGTTTGTCCTTGATGAGGTACGCTTTGATACCCTGGTCCATACAATTGCCTATAAAAAAAATTATATATAGAAATAATTATTTTAATTTTGATTCACTATATATTGCAATTTATTTCGTTTATAAAATATTCACTTTTATAATTTCCTATATATATATATATATCACATGCATTAATCTAAAATTAGGCCATTATAAAATGTTTATATATATTATATATAATATATATCACATATATTTCATTTCTTTCATTCTTAATATTATTTTTACTTAGTAATTGTTTTTATTTTTTTAAATCATAAAAAACGTAAAAGCAATGTAAAGTAAGAAGAATTATTAAATCATTAAATGTTACGCTTATGCATTGTTAATACGTTTATGAAATTTTTTTATTCAAAATATTCAAAATAAATTCGTCGTGTTACTCATTATGCACTTATAAAATAATATTTTTTATGGTTAAATCTGTAATCAATAATTACCCTGAATATGGAGAAAACATATTATGAATATTGTTTGGCGAGGGATATTGCCATGCCATATTCGCCATTGAGCCTACTCCAAGTTGTGGCTGTTGTTGAAATGGCTGCTGTTTCTTCTGCGACGCTGTAGCCTCGCCTTCTGACATACCGAAGAACAAAATCAGAATTGCTTAAACAATTGTACCCTTTACGTTCCGTTGCCGTAAACACTTTTGTATTACCACGGATTTTTTAGACCAGGAAATAAAATTCTTAAACTATTCTCGAATACATTTTATCGAATTGTAACGCTTTCGAAATGACTAACCGTTTCAATGAACTAAAATGGTGCTGAGGAATATATTATTCTCTGTCAGACGGCAGCACTGTCATCTTTCACGCGCCAATTTTGTTAAATATATATATTTGTTTATATTTAATATTTAATAAATAAATTTAAAAGCTTAGTAGTTTAATAGAATATTTAATAGAATTAAATTAAATTGAAGAATTTTAATACGTTTTAATAATTATATTGGTATATAATGTAATACGTTTGTAAAAAAAATTTGTCAAAAATTTTGACATTATAAGTATTAATTCAGTTTTGATATTTTTAAAAATAAATAATTCTCAAACATAGTATTCAAGCTATGCAATTTTTTCTATTTTTAAAGTATCATCTCTAAGATTGAGTGCAAAATTGTATTGTACTTGTGATAATTTATTTCGATTTCTCTTTCATTCATATAGAAAATAATTGTCGATAGTTGTTATTTAATGCGGTAGCATAACGTAATCAAATACTTAGATAGTTTTGCAATGAAATGATAGAAATGGAATATGGCCTAGCACGAATTGTAACATTATATTCGAAGGATATCGAATGAAGTTGTACATACGTAGTTATGTTGTTTTTTTCATGTCAGAACACGACTAAAGATAGATTTGAATATATACATAGAGTTGTAGACTGCAATCTGTTTTATCTTTTAATTCGATTATCGAATCTTTGATTACATTTTGTTATGTTATTTTGTGTATTATTTTTTCTTTTTTTTTTATAGAAATAAAAACAATATTTTAATTTTTAATCATATTTTAATTTATCTATAAATATAAGAATTTTTTTCATTCAAGATTCAAATTGATTATACATATTAGAATCTTTTTTTACAATTTTAATTTTAAAATTAAATTTATTTAAAATTCATTTATATTTTTATTGAAAATATAAAAATATATATAAAAGCATTAAAAAATAAATTTTATCTTAAAAAATAAATATCATTTTTTAAATATATCATTTTTTGCAAATATATTTATGTATATATATGTTGCTATTAATATATTTCGATTTTATAACATATATTTGACATTATTTTTTTTATATTTCAGAAGAATATTATTATAAAGGATCATATTTTTGCTATCATATTATTATTTAAAATAGAGATAAATAAATTCATTATGATGCAATAATGTTGATTATTTCATCTTGTTTTATAGATGAAATATCAGGTAGTTAATTGATAGATAGAGGCATGTTGTTTACCTTGAATAAGTTGTGGACCTTTCTTTTAAAAATATTGTTCAAAATTAAAAAAAAAATAAAAAATGAATACGTATAAAATATTTAAACAAGAAAGTAATATTTAAAGTAATACAACAATGAAAGATAAGTACTATTTTCTCTTACATATACTTAACATATTTTAAAAAATATATATATTTTTTTTAAATATTAAGAGAAATAAAAGATTTATTTGTTCAGTTATAAAATAAGACAAATCTTATAATATGTGATTGTGAAAAACTATAAAACCTGAATACGACATTCTTTTTCCCCATAAAAATTCATTCTATTCATCCTGAAAATCAAACTCAACTATAGTTGCTAATTGCATCAGCATTTCCCACTTTCGTTTTTCAACAAAGTGCAATCGTGTATAGTGCGATTTTATGTAATCTTATCATATTAGAACAGATTGGTAAGTAATAATTAAAAAGCCTTTATAAAAATAAAAAAAATCATTAAAATTATATAACCATTTCTTAAACTGATCATTAATATATGATTGTTATTATATTCTGAATTTAAATATTATTTTTTTATATCTATTTTTGTTGTAGGATTATAATTCAGTTTCCTTGTAAAAAAATCCAAAAATGGCAATTAATTAATAATTGACGAATAACACTCTTTTTCACAATTTAGTTAAAAATAATTAAAATTTTTTATTTTTTTTCTAAATACAAAAAATATTTCATGAATAGAAGAATAGAAGAGAATAAAATAATTACAATTTAATATTAATGAATGCTGCACCAGAATTATTGCGATTTTTCAAATTCGAATAATAATAACAATGAGCATTGAGCTTGAATTATGAGTCACAGTATTCTAATGTATTCTATATATTATTATAAAATTAAAAATTGAATTTAAATTTGAATATAGATAACGGTAATTTATGAAATTCCTATTGATTCTTCATTTTTATTTTCATTGATTTCATCTGGTATTTTTTCTTTTTTCGGAGAAACTTTTTCTTTCTCTTCCGTAATATCCCTTGGTTCTTTGGTTTGGACTATTTTTGTTGTTCCTTTCTTTTTTTTTGGTTTTATACTTTTTGTTAATATGTCGATAACAGGTTTTACTTTTTTTTTTATTATCTTTAATAGAAATTATACAAAATTATTTTTTACAAGCTTAATCAATATTTTATATAAATATTTCTTATCAAATAAATGGTATAAGTTCTTATCGAAAAAGATTTTTATAATATATTATTTTACCATACGTTGCAGTAATTGTTTGGTAGTTTTCTTTGTTCCATATCTTTTATCCCATATTTCCTTTTCTTGCCACCATATACGTTGGTATTCATTCGTTAATAATTGTTCTATACAAGGACGTTTTTCTCTAATATATTAATAAAAGAAATATAAATATTGAATCTAATTATAATTTAATTAATTTACGCACTTTTCATAAGACGGAATAAACACTTTTTGGGATGCGAATTGAGAAGAAATAATATTGTCTGGAATTTTACAAGGAACCGCGGGTGACCATGTTTTCACCTTTGTATCTGTGCTCATTATTCTAAGGTCGTTTGCAAATTCTTAAAATCAAACGCAATAAACGCAAAAAATGATGAACTATTTAAAAAGAATCAAATTAAACAAATGACGATGAATATCGATATTAAACTCGAAGTTAAAATTTTATCGACATATAATATAAAATAAAATGTCATTATAATAATCATCGATATAAATTTTATCGATATCACGTATCATGTCTATAATCAAAGTGAGTTCTTAAAAGTCATTGATATGAGTTTTATTGTAACTTATCAAGATATTATTAAAATGATATATTATTAAAATAAGTTAACGCGTTTTTTTACAAAAGAAATGAAACTAGTAAATATTTATGTTATGTGCCTCCTTTATTTCAATAATAATAATAGTAGAAATAAAAGTTGTAGAAATTAGAATTTTAATAATTCATAATATGAATACCAACGAGATTAATGTATAGGTAAAACGGGAACTGACACAACTTATGCTTATCCGATAATTAATCTGGAAAACATTCTCACCTTGTGTTAACAAATTTAATGTTACGTGCGAATACCACGTGTTCGAGACGAAATTAGCAATGTCCTACAAATTCTTTTGCAGAATTTGTATCGGAATTATAGATTTCATAATTTATTGGATACACAGGATATTTTGCTAATTAAATGTTAATCAAATAGATGAATTAATATAATTCTTGATAGTTGAATTAAATTCTTGAAATTCTGTAAAATGGATAATAAGATAGATTAGGGATTTGTCAGTTTCTTTTGAAAGATATAAATGGAAATAATTATTATGACCTGATAAAATATTCCTTAAAATAAATGCAAGTTGCGACGTATGACATTATCACTTTCACTCTAAATCCATCTTTTTTATGTATTTTCTATTTAATAATTATAAATCTTAATACATTAACTTAATTGTAGATAATTTTTTAAAAAATTTAAGAGTTCATCAATATTTCTTGATGCAAAATTGAATTGTCTTATGTCTAAAATCGAATCACTCTCGATAGAATGTTGATACATATATGTAAATTTCTACTTTCTTCTTTTTCCTGTAAAACATCAACAAATTATTACGATTATCGTTAAAAATTTTTTTTATAAAAAATGTTATTTACTCAATTTTAATATCTTATATTGTATTATAATTTTATATTATAATATTTTTTTAGTCACTCACATATTAATCAAATCGAATTTTCTGTAAAAAATTATTAAAAAAATAATACAACGAAATTAGGAAACTTTAATTTACAAATAATAATAGTATTGAAAAAATTATATTCTACTTAATCATCAATTTGAATATTGGTGTGATAGTTGGTGATTTGTGGTAACAAAATCGGAAACGTAACTCTTTAAGGAGGGAGTAAAACATTGATATGGGAGGAGTTCTTTCGAGTTCTCTCTCCGTTGAGAGACTGCAAGGAGCAGAGGTGGTTTCTACTCACCTGAAGATTTCATATGGCAGTCGCCGTGCTGAGTTGTTCAGCGACGGGTATCTCGTAATCATTTTGTGATTCACAGAATTACCGCGAGATCTCAGTTGAACTCTCGTTCTATTCTGCATATTGTTTTATCATGTTGGATTTTTATTTATTTATTTGTTTTTACACTCACAATATTGAATCGTTTGAGATAAACGCGTTTTGTACGGTTAGTTATTTTATTTGTCATCCCTTTTGAAAACTATTTCTTCTCACGGAAATATTTTCCTTCGGAACAGATTATTATCTAATAACAAAATCTTTGATTGATATTTTAATTTTAATTGTTTTATTGTAATGATTTTTGCCGAAAATATAAGAAAATAATGAAAATAAATGATTGAACAATTTCTTAGACAATTAAAACAAATTTTAAAGAGGTTAGATGCAATGCGAAATGTTTGCATTGGAATCAAAGAAAGTGAACGTTTCTTAGAGAGTGATTTTTTTATATGATAAAAATTAACATTTATTTAAATAATTTTATTTATATAATATTAATAAATCTGTTTTTTGTAAATTTGTTGGTTAAATTTAAAATTTTTACCTTAAATTCTTTCGATTATAGGTTTCGATTATCGAAATATCAAATCAATGAAGATGTTCGCAAACTTCGAGTTTAAATAATATTATAATAATACTATTAAAATTGAATATCGATTGATTTCTGTTATTAGTGTAAAGTATAGTACAATTTAATAAAGTGATTGATATAAATAAATGAACTCTAAAATTATATATGGACTGTATAAAGACAGCGAAGTGTGTGAAACAATAAATTAATAAATTGATAAATATGTTTCAATATACAGCAAAAATGTATAATTTTGAGATAAATGTGAAAATTTTCAAACTTTGATAAATTTCTTTATTGATAATAAGTTGGAAAAAAAAAAATAGTGTAGTGAAAAATCAAACAAAAAAGTCATTATATGTACAAAAATTTGTACGAAATTTATACGAGTTAACGAATTATTTTATAAAATTATCGCTGATAAACTGATTTGCAATAACGTAGTAATTGATTGTATTATAAATACGAAAAAAATATCGAGACATTAATCAATAATTTAAAAATTCTATAATCACAATCGATTATGGGAATAAGTATTTGGTGTGAAAACTTAATTAACTCATATTATCGTGGTAATACTTTATATATATAGATTATACAAATCTAATTTAAAATATAATTCGAAAATTAAAAAACAAATAATGATTATAATATTAGAAAATCATGCATTATAGAAACATTTTGCTGTACTTGGATGAAACATATTTCGTTATTCTGTTAAAAATATTGCAAATTATTTTTCAAGTTGTTAAACAATATTGAAATCTCTTAACATAATTATTTATTAATCATTGATTCTTTTGAATAAATTATGATAATTAATAAATAATTCTAAAACATTTTGCATTTACTATATTACAATTAATATAAAATACAAAAACAATTAATATAATTGTTTTAATTCTGTGAATTTAAACAAATTTGAAACTAATAATTTCGTACCGATACAAATTGAAAGCTTAGTGTTCTTATTGCAACAATAATTAAACATATCAAAGCTACCAGATCGTTAAATTTTGGCAATCATTTGACAAAGAAACAAGTGTACGATCGATTATAAATTTAGCGATTAATTTCTTAATAGGAGATTAATAAGTTTATCTTATAATTAGTGTATATATATATATATAT